GAATAAATCCTCACAGTGGGAGATCACCTTGACAAATTTGTTTTGGAATGATCCCAATAAAACTTCTTTTATAGAATCAGAATTAAACAAGAAACCAGCGTATTCTGTAGTTCTAATTTTCTAGTCATTTCAAAAACAAATTATTAAACTTATGATCAAGTACCCTATTTTTCAAAACAAGACTATAGTTTCATTACAATAACTGTCATAATAGCTACCACGTCTTGAGTACCTACTATGTCCCAAGAATGTGCTAAGTATTTTTTAAACATTCTCAGTTTTATCCCAACAACAATTGTTTGAGTAAATATTAATATTATCTTTGTCATAAAGGTGAGTAAATTGAGACTTAGAATGTTTAAATCATCTATCTAGTTTAAGTCACACGGTCAATGTAAAATCTGAGATTACTTTTTAAAATCAATGTGTAAATAATAATAAAGCTATGTGTTCTGCGTAATGTAAAAATAAAATTCATTTGACAACATTTATTAAGAGACTTATACACAGAGCACTTTACTAAGTACTATGAGAAGAAAGACAAAAGATAAAGAAGAGGAACTGCCTGTCTACCCTTTGGTACGATTAACAAATATCACGGTCATGTTTTCTTAGCCTTCTCCAATGAAATCGTTACCACATAATGCCAAAATGGCACATTATTTTTCAAAAGAAGTTACCATTTTATAAATACGATATTGTGTTATCTATTTCTCTATGCGCATAAAGTCTAAACTCTTGGTTGTATGTTCACTGTGATCCAAACTTTTATTTGTCAAATCCTTTGTAAAATCAACACGAATTAATTTTTAAATGCCATTTTCCAAAGATGAATTGTATTCTTTTGGCTTTGCAAGATCCTTATACAGAATTCAGAGTACAGTTTTCATTGTTGCTTAAACATCCAGACATCCTTCCTGACCCGGATGGCATTCCTCCCTTTATCTTTCTACAGCTAGAGGGTTCCACCTAGCGACTCGACTGCAGAATATACTGAAACAAGGGAAATTAATTTTTAACAGAACACTGAGATTCATTTAGTTTGAAATGTACTTATATCTTTACTTAAAATTGAGCATTTTTCTCAATATTGTTTTTTCTCAAAGGGTTTTATTAAATGTAACAAAACAGTTTCTGCAAATTATTTCACACCGTCAATTCATGTCAGTTTTTGTAACTTATTTTAGCAAAGTGCCTAAATTTTATCAGTTCATATGCCAATGTTATTCAGGTCAATAAAAGTCAAATTTTTCCTGCTAATATTGGCTGTTGTAACAATACAGAACTTGTGTGAGTAGCTGTCTACGATGAGGAAAGAGTAGCCGAAAGACTCAATAAAATCTCGACCTGAACATGCTGTACGTCTTGGCACCAAGTCCTAACTTCACTATGGCCTAGATCATTTGAATGTTGTGTCTCTAATAGCTCAAGGATAATTTGCCAAAACCAAAATTATAAAGATGGTCAATATTATGCTTTTACTCTTCAGTTTTGTATCCAGGCAGTTAGCAATTCAGTGTCATACTAGAGTCAGCAGGGAGGCAGCTCCCAGGATATCTTCCCTATGATATCTTCCCATCTCAGCCCAGATGGGTCTAACAGGACCACTAGCCACGTGCAGACTGTAAACACAGCCAGAGGGGAAGAAGATCTGCAAGCATCTCACAATGGAGAGCCAAGACTCAGCTTTAGTTGCGTGACTACAGCTACACACTGACACCTGGACCTTATTCCCTTCAAGCATTTGCAGTTTGGGAAAGCTTTAGCTGCACAAACACTTCGTGATAATCCCACTTCAGTCAATAGTGTGGACTGGTCCTCTCTTCATTCCCTGCCATTCAATTGCACAATGATTTTACTACATGCTGATTGTTCTTAAATCAATTTTCATTCTAGCCTCACATTTTAAAAGAATTTATAATAATAAATTAACTAGTAACCTTTTTCCCATCTTCCCTTTCTTCGTGGATCATCATATTATAATGTCAAGCAAATGGGTGATTTATTTATTTTTTATTGTTGTATATTGACATCCTCAGCAGTTCAATGTTAAATAAATATCGTTTGCTTTAACCTGTTTAGAACAAGCACATTACATGGAGTTTGCATAATTATTGCAGGTCACAGAAAACAGAATCTTCCTCATATTGTCCTCAGTAGTTGTTTGGAAATAAAAATAAAGCTAAATATTAGTTTCTCACTGGACTTCCTTAACTGAGTTTCTATTCTTTCTCCATCATGAAGCAGTTGGAATTCTGCTGTGTCTTCTTAACCTATCATAATAAATATGATCATTTTTCACATTGCAGTAAGAAAAAAAACAATACTTTTCTGTACACAAAAAAATGTAGTTTTTTTTTTCTTTTCATATTTTCTTTTACTCCTTGTCCTGTACCTTGAAAGTAGAAATTTACTAAGACAAGAGAAGCTTAAGGAAATCAAGGAAAGGATTGCTTCAAATTGTACATATATGCATGAGACATTTATATCAATAAGTCAAAACTGTGATGACAAAAATCTTCTAGAAAGCAAATGAACGCAGGTTGGGACGGACGATTTGGCAGAAGCAAGGTGCTCATGTACAGAACAGAGCTAAGAAGGAAATACATGCAACAAGCAGACAGTTTAATGAGATCGGTCAGATCCGGGTGATTGGCAAGGCTTCTTCTGCAATTCTGTATCTCTAAGAATGGACGATACACAAAAAATGTGTTCCATTCTACTTGGTTTTTCTTAGATACCAGTTTTGGAAGTGATCCAGTCCCGGAAGGCAGTAACTCTAGTGTAAACACCAGGCTTGTTGGGTTTCGCGCATTCATCTCCCCAGCTCACTATTCCAGCGAGATACCAGATATCTCTAACATCTGCACTGACCAGTGGTCCTCCAGAGTCACCCTAAAGGAGAAGGGAGAGATTAGTAATTCATAATTCAATTCATTACAGAGAAACTTGCTATTTTTCTAACTTAAAAGTGTAATAAAAGGAGTGATTTTTTTTTTTTTTTTTGAGACAGAGTCTCACTCTTTTTGCCTTGGCTAGAGTGCCGTGGCGTCATCTTAGCTCACAGCAACCTCAAACTCCTGGGCTCAAGCGATCCTCCTGCCTCAGCCTCCCGAGTAGCTGGGACTACAGGCATGCGCCACCATGCCCGGCTAATTTTTTCTATATATTTTTAGTTGTCCAATTAATTTCTTTCTATTTTTAGTAGAGACGGGGTCTCGCTCTTGCTCAGGCTGGTATCGAACTCCTGAGCTCAAACAATCAGACCGCCTCAGCCTCCCAGAGTGCTAGGATTACAGGCGTGAGCCACCGCGCCCGGCCAGGAGTGATTTTTTAATCTTCAGTGTTCAAACTCAGAAGTGGTTCTATCCATCTATGTCAGTTATTCAACTAATGGAAGGGCTCTAATACCTGGAAAATTGATTTAGCCTCAGGGTTCAGTACACTGAGATTGAAGGCCCCATCTCTTTGGGGAACAGTACTCTTAACGTATCTGAAACATCTAACAAAATAACTTCCTATATAAGTTACCTCTTTATTAGTGTGACATAACTCCAAAATAAAGGTCGGAGGAGCTGGTAAAAAGTCTATTACTGATGAGAAGCACAGAAATTAGAGTCAGACACCTGAGTTTCTATCTCAAGTTTGGCCCTTCTAAGCTGGCAGACCTTTCATTTACATATTTGTAAATGCTCCTAATTTAAATGCTCTGATAATTACTATAAAGATTATGTAAGACAGTGAATGTAAAGTGCTTAGTCTAACACAAAGCAGAATTTAAGGAATGTATATATAAAAAGATAAATTCTAATTGTTTATATCCTGCAAATAACAGAGGTCTGTTTCTTTATACAGGTCATACAAACAAGGTATTGACTGATCATTACTGGGCCTCTAGCTATTGATCACCCGTTTAAGTGCTCAGCACTCTATGAAGCTCTTAACTAACATATTATCTCATTAATTCATATAATTCTTGCACAAAAACCCATAGAGTTAGATTTAATATTCTCCACTTAGCAATAAGGAAACTGAAACTCACAGAAATTAATTAAATTGCCTGAGATCACATGCTAATCAGTGACAGAACTCGAATTTGAATCCAAAGCTATCTAACTGAGAAGGCCATGCTTTTTTTCCTGTATTACACCAAATTCCTTGTGAATTTTCTTTTGTCCATTTACAAATGTCAACTATTATTAAAAATAGTTACATTTGAAATAATGTGCTTATAACTTTTAAATCAAGTAATCAATAAACATTTACTAATGCCCTCATATGTGGTGGGAGATATTAAAAAAGTAACATAAACATATAGATCTTGCCCCCAGGAGCCTACAATCCACTTATAGAAACAAGATGTAGTATATGAACCTATTTGAAAATAAATAATTTTGATAATTGAAACTCAACCCACTGCTGGCATTTCCAGAATCTGAGCAAGCCACTTGAAAGGCCCAAAATCAGCATACCTGGGCCCACTAACACTGGTGCCAGTGTATGCTGTCCTAGGGCCCAAGGACAGGCATGCTGAGCCCACTGCTACCACCACTGGGGCCCAAAGACTCGCCCACCTGATACACCAGCCCCCAGCCTCCATTAACAACCACTTCCAAAGTCATCAAGAAAATCACAGACACCACTGGTGCTGTTTACAGCCAAAGAAGTCATAGAGAGACTACATTACTGCACACACCCAGAAGCAAAACCAAAATGCCCTACCTGACCAACACCATAGCTACACCTTCAGAAAAATGTCTTCTCCAGTGAAAGCAAATTCAAAAAATTCAAAGAGGCAACTGTTACAACAGATGTGCTGACATCGATATAAGGACACAGGAAACATAAAAAAGCAAGGAAATACAACATCGCCAAAGAAACAGCCTGCAGCAATAGATCCAAAGCAAAAAGAAAATTAATAATTCCCAAAAGAAGAATTCAAAATATTGTTTCTAACCAAGGTCATTGAGATACAAGAGAATTCTGAAAAACGAAAACAAAACAAAGAAATCAGAAAAACAATTGAGACTATGTGTGAGAAATTTATCAAAGAGATAGACATTCTAAAAAAGAACTAAACAAATTCTGGAACTGAAGAATTCATTGAATCAAATACAAAATACATTCAAAAGTTGTAAAAATAGATTAGATCAAGCAAAAGGAAGAATCTCAAAACTTGAAAACAGGTCTTTTGAAATAACCAAGACAAAAATAAATAAAAAAGAATGAGAAAAGCCTTTGTGACATATGGGACACCAAAGCGACCAAATATACCAATTTTCAGTGTCCCAGAAGGTAAAAAGAAGACAAAAGGGTTATAAAACATATTTAATGAAATAATAAAAGACTAACACAGAGAGAGGCAAGATGGTGGACAAAAAACACGACCAGCCAGGGCATCTCTGCAAGAAAGAGAGATTTTAGATGAAAGTGAATGAAACAATCAGGCAGACCAACATAGATCAGATGAGGGATGGAAGGAAGGGTGCCTGAACCTACAGGAGACTCCAAGGGAAGAGGTTGCAGAGCAGAACTGGAAGGAGAAAGGCATTGGCAGGGACTAAGCCTCGAAAGGCTTGGAAACCAGCAACAAGGGTGGGTGGAGCAGTTAAAATACCCCTCCCTTGCATCTCAGACTGATGGTGGGCTCCCAAGCTGCTGGAGAGATCTGCCAGCACCAGCCCAGAGACTGCTGCCCCCAGTGAGCAGAGAGCCTCTTGCAAACAGGGCACCAGGCTCCCAGCTCCCTTGGGACACCTCCCCAGTTGGCAGGCACCATAGTCCTTCTTTCTCCCTTTCCCCTCCCCTACCTGTGGCTGTCAAGAGAAACAATTTAACCACCACCCAGAGGCATCCACAGCGAATGGGACCTTTCCTTTTGGGGCCCTGTAGCAGACTGAGGGGTGCTTGTAAGCACCTCTACCCACCAGCCCTTCCTGGTGCTGCTTGCCTGGTTACTCCAGCAAAGAGGGGCAAACTCCAAGGCAGGGAGACATTAATCCAGCTTGGGCACCCCATAGGTGACTTGGGACCAGCATTCTTCTCCCTGGCACAATCAGTGATTGATCTCTGGGGCCAGGCAGAGAAGCCTGAAGGTCAGATCCCATACACCCCGGTCTCAATTTCATTGCTCAGGGGCACAGAAAGGGTATTTGTGAACTAGTCTACTGAGGTGTGTGTACCTGCAGGGGTAGATCAGAGTAGGTCCCAGCTGCAGCATGCCAGGGCCACACTCCCAGCTCAGGCAGTGATTCTGGGCAGGGAACTTCCTGGCCCACATCACAGTCAGATGGAGCTCAGCTGGCTTGAGATCCTGTCTGCCAGCAGAGGCCTGGGAGAAACCGTGAAATAGGGGAGGGTGGAAAGGTGTGAGGCCTGCTACAGACTGCCAGACTGTGGGCCTCAGAAAGCCACACCTCCACACTGACACTTTCTGGCTGAGTGGGGCCACTTCAGCCCCTCCATGACAGCTTCGCCAGAGGCAGGGAACAGACCTTTGACCCCTGCTAAAAGCATTTGTGGAACTTCAGGGCAGGCTCACCCAACTTATCCCTGCCCAGCCCCACTCCCCCAACTGTCCCTGTCGTGGTGGAGAATAAGGACACATCTGGAAGTTCCAGGGCCCCACCCGCCACCTGAGGCACTAAAGTGCCTCTCCAGAGAAATGAGAGCTGGTTACAGGACCCAGAAACAACATTGCAGCTTGCTCCTCCCAGCAAGCACCATACTGACAGGGAGGTCAATTTGCATGCCCTTTTACTGCATTTACTGACTCTTCATACAGGGTGTGGCCAATTCTCACCCACAAGTACCACCTACTGGCTCAAAGACTAAACTGGGAATGTCAATATCTAAATTAAAATCCAAAGGTAAGAAACAACAGCTGCTCCAGATGGGAAGGAATCAGTGAAAGAACTCTGGAAGTATGAAGAATCAAACAGAAAGGACACCCCCAGAGGGGAACACCAGCTCTCTAGCAATGGATACCAACCAAATTGAGAACATTGAAATGACAGAAGAAGAATTTCGGACGTGAATTGTAAGAAAACTCAATGATATGCAAGAGAAAATGTATACTTAACACATTAACACAAAGAAACCACACACAAAAAAAAATCCAGGACTTGGAAGAAAAATTCATTAAAGAAATTGAAATATTAAAGAAAAATCAAACAGAACTTCTGGAAATGAAGAATTTATTCAAGGAATTACAAAACACAGTGGAAAGCCTCAAGAATAGGGTAGATCAAACAAAAGAAAGAATCTCAGGGATTGAAGATAACATCTTTCAATTAAACAAGTCAGTTGCAGAGATAGAGCATATCTGAAAAGGTCTTTATTTCTCCTTTGTATAAGAAACTTAGTTTTGCAGGATACAAGATTCTAGGCTGGTCAATATTCCTAAGAAACACAGATACAAAAATTTTCAACAAAATAATAGCAAACCAAATCCAACAGTACAACAAAGACAATACACCATGAACAAGTAGAATTTTTCCCAGGTATAGAAGGATGGTTCAGCATATACAAATCAATAAATGTGATACATCACATCAACAGAATGAAGGACAAAGACCATATGATCATCTCACTAGATGCAGAAAACACCTCTGATAAAATTCAATGTCCTTTCATGATAAAAACTCTCAGCAAACTAAGCATGGAAGGAGCATACCTCAACATAATAAAGGCCATATATGACAAACCCACAGATAACATCATACTGAATGGGGAAATTTGAAAGCGTTTCCCCTAAAAACTGGAACAAGACAAAGATGCAAACTTTACCATTCTGATTCAGCATAGTACTGGGAGTTCTCGCCAGAGCAATCACACAAAAGAAATAAGAGGCATCCAAATTGAAAAAGAAGTCAGATTGTCCCTCTTGCTGATGATATGATCTTATGTCCAGGAAAACCTAAAGACTCCACCCAAAACCTCTTAGATCTGATAAATTTATTGAGTAAATTTGCAGAATACAAAATCAACATGCAAAAATCAGTAGCGCTTCCATACACCAATAATGAACTAGCTAAAAAAGAAATCAAGAAGGCAGTCCCATTTACAATAACTACAAAAGAAACATGAAATACCTAGGAATAAATTTTTTTATTTAAAGTATTATGGAGATATAAATGTTTTTGGTTACATGGATAATTTTTGTAATGCTCAAGTCAGGGTTAAAAGTGTGCCTGTCACCCAGATAGTGTTCATTGTACCCATTAGGTAGGTTTTCCCTCAACCCCCTCCTCTCCCGTCCCCACTGCTTGATTTCCTTTGGAATTTATTATACTTCCCTCTATGCACATATGTGTTCATCAGAATAAATTTAACCAAGAAGATGAAAGACCTCTACAAGAAATACTACAAAACACTAAATGAATGAAATTGTAGAGGACATAAAAAGATGAAAAGCTATCCCATGCTCATGGATCTGAAGAATTAATATCATTAAAATGACCATACTACTCAAACCAATTTATAGATTCAATGCAATCCATATCAAAATACCATTGCTGTTTTTCACAAAAATAGAAAAACAATCCTAAAATTTGGATGCAACCAAAAATGATCCCAAATAGCCAAAGCAATCCTAAGCAAAAAGAACGGAGCTGGAAGCATCACACTGTCTGACTTCAAAATATATTCCACGGCTATAGTAAGAAGAACAGCATGCTGTTGTTATAAATAGAGACACATAGACCAGTGGAATAGACTAGAGAACCTAGAAATACATCCACATATTTACAGGTAACTGATGTGCTGAGAACATACATTGGAGAAATGACACCCTCTTCAATAAATGGTGCTGGAAATATTTGATATTCATATACAGAAACATGAAACTGGATGCCTGTGTCTCACCTTATACAAAAATCAACTCAAGATGGATTAAGCCCCCAAACCATAAAACTACTAAAGGAAATTTAGGGAAAAACTACAGGACATTGGCCTAGGCAAAGACTTTTTATAACTAAAACCTCAAAAGCACAGACAACAAAAACAAAAAATAGACAAATGGGACTATATTAAACTAAAAAGTTTCTGCACAGCGAAGGAAACAATCAACAAAAAGAAGAGACAACCTGTTGAACGGGAAAAAATATTTGCAAATTATTCATCTGACAAAGGACTAATACCCAGAATATACAATGAATTCAAACAACTCAACAGTAAAAATATAATAAAAATAATTCCACCAAAAAGTAGACAAAGGACATGAACAAATATTTCTCAAAAGAAAACATACAAATTGCCAATAGGTGTGTAAAAACATGCTTAGCAGCACTAATCATCAGGGAAATACAAATGAAAACCACAGTAAGATGCCATCTGACCCCAATTAGAGTGGCTTACACACCATAACTTAGAGGAACTAAAATGTTTCTATTAATATAAAGAGATAGTTAAAAACGCCAATAGATAAATCAACATTAAATTCTATGAAAAAGTCACTGTGTAATTCTATTTACATAACATTCAGAAATTACAAAATTATAGAAATGTAGAATAACTTAGTGATTGCCAGATGTTAAGGGTGGCGAGGGATGAAGAGAGTTACTCTTGAGGTAGATCTTTGTGGTAATAGACTAGTTCTCCATCTTAACTACAGTGATGATTACACACATGACAAAATGCCATAGAATTAGACGTACACTTTATACCACTGTCAGTTTTCTTAACTGTATATTGTACTATAGCTATGTGAGATGCAACCATTGGGGAAAACTGGGTAAAGGATCCATGTGACTTCCCTGTACTCTCTTTGCAAATTGATAAATTTATAATTCTATAAATCTATAATTATTTCAAAGAAAAGTGAACAAAAAATTATATACCATATTAATAGGTAAAACCATTTACCTGGCATGCATCTTTTTTTCCTTTTAAGAAGCCAGCACATAACATTCTAGGAGTTATAGCACCGTTGTAAGCTTTAGGTTCATTGCAAGTTTTAGTGTCTATGAGAGTCACCTGTACTTGCCGAAGGTGATTTTGACTGTTACCTAAAGGGAAAAAAGTCTTTGTATTTGTAGATATACATATATTCTACAAACCTGAAGAAATTCTTTCATAATTATTGGATAAGATAGTAATATAAAATCTTAGAATACATATATTTTTAGATACAGTAATATTTGGGAAGAGCATTCTTTCCTGACTACTTTAAATGAAAGTTAGATGCCTAGGGAAGAAACTCAAGTTATTTAACTCCATTCTTAAGATTTGAAGGAAATTTTAGTAGGGGAGAATGGTGGCTTTATGATTCTCTGATCTTCACAATTGGATATATTAAAGATCTCTAATCTCTGAAGTGGCTAATTCCCTAATAAAAAGTTCAGTGGCTAGGAGACACATTTGCTCTTTCAGATACCTCATCAGCATCATTGTTATAGTACTAAAGACGCACTTAATAGTAACCTAGGGAGGAAGGAATTCATGTGTCTTCTAAATGACTTACTTCATCGGTAGGACCTGACTTGGCCTGAGTCCATATAACCAAACAACAAACATATTACGGCATAATGGCGTTTCATTCTTTAGACGCCATAGAATAACAAATTGGATTTGATTTGAGTTTCTTTTCAGATGCTCACCATCATTTTGCAGTGCTCCAAATCCTGTCACAAACATCTCATCACCTGGGTGGAAGTCGTAGGATGCATCAGGGAGACAAACTCTATGTACCGCATTTGTGTAGGGAACAGGGCTAGAAAGCTCTGCAAGTGAAATGTCATAGTCATGTGATGGGTATTTGTATTTTTCATGGACAATGATCCTCCGGAGACCTCGTTTCATTTTCATAGGTCTTAGCGTTACTCCAAAGGAAACAGTCCATCTGGCTGGGTCCTTATATCTGGGGAGCAAAAAATGAAGAATAAATTCCAGTCTACCATGCTACCAATCAAATAATTTATATTAAATAATTTAGTCTATAGGTATAGAGGGTGTTTCTTGCTTTTTAAAGTTATAGTTTCTATGTATTGAAACAAACTCTTTCTAAGCTGAGAATCAAGTTCAGGGGTCAGATCAGGTGGCAAAGCCACTGTTTCCTAAGATATGCATGCTACTCCACTCCATATCCTAGAAACTTTTGACATTTCTGGACACCAGTGACTCTAAAGGACACATGAAAATAAAATCCTTTACAGAATGAGAGAACTAAACATATTCTATGTGCCTCATGTCCACTATTCAAAAATTTATACATATCTCTGAAAACCATAAAGGCCACACAATAATTTAACAAAGTAAAAAAGTAATTTTGCTACTCCATATTCTCCTGCTGTTGCCCATGGTCCTCCATTTCTTGTAATATTAATATAGCTATTTACCCTATTCAGTTGTACAATTTGCTACTTTCAAATTTCTTCATACTTAATTATCTTTCTTACCATGTAGAATTTCCCCACTGGGCTCAAACCTACAACATATCCAGCCTCCATCTCTGATGGAGATACTCGACACAGAGATACGGCGCTTCTCTTTGACATCAAGCTCAAAGTCCAGAGATGATTTTAAAATTCCTGCTTTCTTTGACAAACTATTGTGTATTTACCAACGAATAATTTATCTGCATGTACTTTGATGCTGTTTCCATTTCCAGACTATAAAACCTTAGTAAAGTTTATGAGTTTCCCATTCCCTTCGTGATATACACGTTATCTTTAATTTATGCTAAACTCGCCTCTTTCGAAATTCATGAGGCATATCCTTTTTGCCAACACCCTATGCACTTTGTTAAGCCCCCATCATTCACAAGGCTCAAGACTCACATTCTAAAGCAGTGAGCAGCACTCACAAGCCACGTGGCATTAATCAAAGTTGCTCCACAGCGATGGATCCCATCCCACTGCAGGCTGGCTTGCCATGGCCATTCACCCTCTTCTACCTCTGTCCCACCAATGATCCTGAGACTCTGTCCTGTAGGTTTACTCCTTCGTGTCCCACAGCCTGCCAAAGAGAGGATGCATTCATTAGCTATTGTTTTAAGCATCAAATTGTGTTGCTGGGCCCAAAATTGTTTGTATTTTGTGCTTCAATCGTATCAAACATTTTCTCATGCTCTTACTTTTCCATAAACTGTAATGTTTCATTCAGTTAACTCCTATTCATCTTGTAAGACTTAAATCAGTTGTTACCTCTTCTAGGATGTCTTCTCTAACAATTCCTCTGCCTCCAAACTGGATTAGTTACAGCTTTCTTGATGTTTTCATAATAATGACAATAATAACAATATTCTCTCTCTCCCCCACCCCGAGTTGTATTCTCTCTCTCTCTTTCTACATACACACACACACACACACACACACACACACACACAAAATGCCACAATGAGGCATTATATCTAGGGTATCAAAATTGCCCCTGGTTGAGAACTGTTGTTTTAGAATTATATGTTCATGCATTAGTCTCATGCACCTAATCCTATTAGAGTATCAGCTGCTTTAGGCAGGGATTATATCTTAACTATTTTGTATCCATATTGCTTTACACACTACCAGCACACAGGAGGTTCCCAATAAATATTGCTGGTAAGAATATATGCCATTTAGATAATGGTATTATCTTTTGATTTTTGTGTTTAGTTGAGTTTATAAATTAACCAACATTCTGAGCTAGTGAGTAGCACATTTTCTTCCATCTTTTAAGATAAATGTAATATAAAATAATTCTGTAACTCTTAAATTTATTCTCTAAATCATGGTGGGATACTCTGCTATAGGGGAAGGAAAATACTAGGCCTAGAGTCAGCATTTCTAAAATGCAGGTAAAGATATTATCTAGATAGACCTTTAGTAATTTCATCAAAATATATCCCGACTCCATAATTGCCTGCAATTTCCATGACATGGGATTAATAACATCAAGAAGATTTTATTTAGGGTAAAGCAACAATCAAGTTTCTGCTTCTAGCTGAAAAAAAATCAACATATAGATTAGTTTTATATAATCTTTAGAAAATTTTTATGAGAGCATATTATAGACATCTGTGAACAGAACATTGATAAGTGAACATTTTTTGCCTCGTTTTTAACAATTGCACAACTCACTTCCACTACACATCTGCGATAGGCACCCATATGTCCACTCCAAAGTTCTCCCAATTTTACTGTTTTTCACTAATAAAGGGTGCCTCAGAGATAAGATGAAGCCTTATGAACTTTGCACAAATAAATCATATTTTATTTGTTCTGTCCCTATAATATCAACACAAAGTATACCTAAATGATCTAGAGTGTTAACTTTTTACATTCAGGTAATGCCATTTTAATAAATATATTAAACTTACAATTGTTCAGGTAGTTGTCTGTTTCCGTCTTGTTGATTTCTGAAATACACAGACACGGTGAATAGAACAGGGTCAGCACGTCAGAACTGCACTATGCCTCTGAGTATTTCAAATACTAAAAAGCTGCTTGATTCCACTATAAGGTAATATCTCCAGCTTACAAAGAAAACAACATGGTTAGTTTATCACAGACATAGTTTGTTTGTTGTCTTGGGAAGGAGGGGATACATGAACAGTGTTCCTTAAACTTCAGTGTGGGTAAGAGTCACGCAGGGAGTATATTTATGATGCAAACTCCTGTTCCCCTTCCCAGTAATTCTAATTCAGTAGTTTTACCAGGAAGCCCAAGAATCTGAATTTTACAGCAGGAAATAAGATACAGGTAGTTCACAGCCCCTCTGTAGGAAATACTGATCTAAACCATAGTATTAATTACCCAAATGTAATGATATTTTTATTGACCATTATTTCAGATTATTTTACTAAGTTTATAAACATAGTCCAATTTGCATAACATATGTGGGTAGCATATCCAGAAATTAGTCCTCACTCACATTTAAAAACAGTGCTATATCTTTCTAAGTCGTCTTTATGTTAGGTTTTAGAAAGACAGTCTGTCCTCAAACTGTCACTCAACTCCAGCCAATGAATCTTTAGCTTGTTGACATCTCAACAGTCAGGCCTATGCAAACACTAACTCAACCAACACATACATCAAACTCTAAACTCAAACTTTACCAATTTAGTAAATTTCCAGTGACCAAACTGTTCTCTTTGAACATGACAGGTTGGATGTCCTTAATGCAAAAATATTAATCTGTTAATTTTTCTTTTAGTATTTAATAGTATGGATTTACTGGAAATCTGTATTCTAGAAAGTATTCTTTCTGACTTTATGTATTCTGGCTATTTGTGGGCAAAATGGCAAAAATAAGGAAGAATTGGCCCTTTATTCTCAATTAACACTAAAAGAACCACCTCCATTCTCTCTATTTCAAATAACCTGTTCTTCTCTATTTCAAGCTCTTCCTAGGGAAAGTTCTGGCTTTGCATGTTGATACAACTGAGAAGGCTGGCTTCATGTAAGTGTGACTTATACATCCACACTGGGTCCCACAATCGTAATGGCCCTGTGCTTGGTAAAATGTTCTGCTGTTGCTGACTTGAAATTCTTAATAATTTTATCTTGTAACTTGTGTTGTGAAAGTGAAGTCCAATAGGATAATGGAACATGATGTGAGCAGAGGAGATACATACAATATGTGTTTCCACCATTTCTCACCAACCCATTTTCATATGTCATTCATAATCCCTATGAAATCAGAATTCCAGTGGACCCACAATGTGTGGTAGTTCATAAGATTCAAAGCAAATATAAGCCAAGTCTGTTATGCCTTCCACTAAGTGAGCAGGGGGGCTCCGACAGTCTCAGGAAGCCATGTCTTCTGTTTGAACCAGAGATTGCTTACAATCCAGAAAGAGGACAATGGCATTCTAATAAACACAAATGAACAAGAAACGCCATCCTATGCTTTCTTGCTCCTGTGACTTCCTATGAGCAACAGCTTTTGCTGAAAATAATGACACAGAAGGAGAGAAGTAGGGAAATCCAGAGCTCCTATTTCTTTGAGTCCTTCCTCACTCCTCAGTAAGCTAAAGATAGAGAGCACTGGAAGAATGTGTCCATGTCAAGAAGGGAAATATTATAAAAAGGGTCAAGTTAGCTTTGTGTACTATTTCCATTGATCTTGCAAAAATGAAAAGCGTGTGTTTGAGCTATGAAATACAGTTCAGTAAGTAGGGTGGCTGACCAACACTTTAGGCCTCCACTTAGATGTATCAGCTTTTATATTAGCACTTTATATTCATCGTTTCTACGTATCCCATATTCTCTAATGCCATAGCCATTACCATGTCCATTAGCCACATGTGGCCAGTGAGCTCTTGAAATATGGGTAATCTAAATTGAAATATACTATCAATATAAAATGCACACTAGATTTCAGAGCTTTAGTTCAAAACAACAATATAAAATATCTCATGAATAATTTTTACATTGACTACTTGTTGAAATAATACTTTGGATATATTGGGTTAAATAGATGAATTATTGGAATTAATTTCACATGTTTATTTTTACTTTTCTAATGTGACTACTAGAAAATGTAAGATCATGTTTGTGCCCACATAGCATTTTTATAGACCCGCACTGTTCTATAACATATGAATTGGCCCTTAACCAGACCTTTATTTCCACTGAGGATCTTGTAATTTCTTATTTTCTAATAATAAGAACCTATCACCACTTATTTTGTCCTCTGTGGCCCCACAAACAACAACAACAACAAAAAAACAACCACCACAACAAAAAAACTATCTCAAAATTTTCACTTATAGTTGTAAATATACCAAAAATAAATATAAGTAAATTATAAATTTTTAATTGGTAAATGATCTAAGGGAAGAAGCTATAACAACATATATTAATGACATTTGAAAGCAAATGTGTGGATGGCATGAACCTTTCCATATATCATACTCTCAGAACATAAAATGAAAGCAACAAGGAAAAGAAGAGGAATATACAAAGCCACTTTCTCCCTTCATAATTGGATTCTATAGTCAAAGTATAGGGCCCAACATAGAAGAACCTGTCCAAGAGTTAATGAAACTGTACCTCCCATACAATAGTTTCAAAAATTAAAATACTTCATAAGGACCAATTTAGTTCCAAAGAAATATTCTTTTGGTGGCAAGACCCCAGAATTCAAGAATTTTTTTTGAAAATTTAAAAATAAACTGTTGTAGGTAAGAAGAATAAGCTAAATAAGGGAAATCAACTTACTTTTTATTTCAACTGATTCAGGATCTACCTTAGGGGGTCCCGCAGCATCTCGCAGCTTTTCATGTAGAACACGTTGAACAGTTTTATTTACTGTTTTAGGATCTTCAGTAGTGCGAAATTTACAAATCAGCAGCATATGAGCCAACACCCCATGTTTTTCTTGACTGTGGACAAAAAGGAAGGAAGGAAGGACGGATGGAAGGAAAGATGGAAAGAAGGAAGGAAGGAAGGAAGAATGGATGGAAGGAAGGAAGAAAGGAAGGATGGATGGAAGGAAGGATGGAAAGAAGAAAGGAAGGAAGGAAGGAAGAAAGGAAGGAAGGATGGAAGAAAGGAAGGAAGGAAGAAAGGAAGGAAGGAAGGAAGGATTGATTTATGATACTGTCACATCGGTTTTTTCCTTTGTCATTTATTTGAAGCACACAAAAATAAATCTATAAACGCTTCTTTCTATATTTCTACTATTTACTATGTACAGAACCCCAAACTCAGCCTCCCTGATAGTAATCTATCATGTTCATGTGGTTTCCCTTATCACCAACGGGTCTCATTAAGGACACGGCTATTAATATAAAAAGACATTTATCTTGTCAACCACTCAAAATTACTAAATATAAAGTGTGGTAAATATGAAATCAACTGTGCTTTGGCTTTCAGGTTTCATTCCCGTGACTCAAATCCAGTGATCTTTCCTAAGCAATCTTCAGGCTCTCCTAAACAACTCCTAATCCTAAGGATATTAGAAAGTTTGACCTTATGTGACTACATTTTCAAGATAGAGTATTAATTAGTCTTAATGTTAATTTTATGAATTGCTACCTTGGAATCATTCTGCCAGCTGTTTTACCCTCTCCTTTTCATCGTCAGTTTTCAAAGAATCTCACCACTCACTATACACTGCATCAAACCCTGCTCTCATAAACTGTAAAGGGGAATATAAATTAGTATCTTATTTTTAGAGGGCAGTTTGGTTTATCTACTGTAAATTTGAATATCCATCCTCTCTGACAGAGCATTTCCACTTCTAGAAATTAAATCTTCAAATGTACTCTCAAGTATGCAATGAGTATAAACGTGCTCATTATGTGTTTATAACAGGAAAATAAATAACAACCTAAGTGTGCATTAATAGGGCAAATCAATAGTGTCTAAATCAACACTGACACATGCTTGTAATGAAATACTATACAGCCAGCTAAAGAATGAAATAGATCTATATGTAGTCATTGGAAAGGTGTTCAAAATAAATTAAGAAGATGTGTTATTTGTGAGAGTGGAATTATTGGACAAGAGGCTTTCTCGTTGTATTTCACATAATACCGTGTTATTTGAATTTTGTATAGTTTTGCATTGCTTTTGTAATCTGGAAAAACAGGGCTTTAAAGACATCATTATTATGTATCTCAAACCGTTTCACTGCTTCAACAACCCATCAATTATTTATTATTCTTTCTCTTAAACTAGTTCTATACTTGCTGGCTGATAAAAATAAGAGCAAATGAAACCCTCTCTCAACCTTGCTATTCTATTCATCTCTCACCTTCTTATCACAGAAAACTTTCTTGAAATGACGAATTACTCTCTACCTCATACTTTGTTACAGTCTACTTCTCTCCTTCATTTCCAGAGTTGTTGCTCTGCTCAGACACCAATGGCCTCCTGGTTGACATACCAGTGGATTCTTTCCAGTATTTACATTGCTTGGTCAGGAGTATTGGTCAGTGTTGGCCAGTCCCTTCTAGAAACTCCTTGTCTTTAGCACAAGTATTGCCTCACTCATGATTTCTCTTTTTTCCTGCTCCTTTCCTGTTTCTAAGGTCCCTGTTTTTCTTCCATCCCCTTAGATATTCTTGTTCTTCAAACTTTCTTCATCATTCTTTTTTTTTTCACCTTGCATTACCCTTTTCCTGAGAAATTTACACCCATGTTTTCCAAAATTTTGATTTGATGATGAGCAAATTTATATCTTGCACTCAATTCCCTTTTCCTCCACCAAGTCAAATTCATTGTAGAGGACCCTAGTATCTTAGCTCAACCTCTCTAAAACTGACTCCATCTTTCCGATAGACTTGCTTTCTTACTGTTAACAGCAACAGAACAAAGAATAATGAGTAGCAGTAGGAAGATCACTGGGATGAAGAGGTAAACAAATTACAAAGTGATTTGGAAAATAGAATTGGTAGAACTTAGTTATTCTTAAAGTATGAGGGGCCCAGAAAAGGGAGGAGTATATGATGACTTCCAGGTTTCTCATTAATGTGACTGAACTCTCTTGAGTTAGGGAATTTTTC